CTCTGCCCTGATAAACGTACCCCAGGAAAACACCATGTGTTTTAAAACCCCAAAACACTCAGAACAGATGACTTGAGAGTAGGGTGGCATTCTCTGAACATCAGCACCAGCCGTTTCACACTGAAGACTTCTGGAGCATAGTAGTTCTCACCCAAGGAAAAAAAATCCTTACATGTAGCCGTTGTATTATACTTCGTTTGGTAATGCTGGAGAAATTGGGCCAAGAAAGCAATAACCAGAGGGTTTAAAGAGTTATTTCAGGTTTACAGATATTCCCTCAACTCTTCAAAATAAAAGTCATTGTATCTCCCTAAGGAACTCAAAGAAACTCAAGTCCACATAGATTTCTATTAACTCTGCGTTTATTTACATAGAGGTGGCCTAACGAAGACCTGCTTTTATAGTCAGTTCACGTGTAATAGCTACACCACTTAAGCAGCTTTGCTGTCTGTTTATAAGAACGTTCCTTACAAGCCTGAAGGCATTCTAAAGCTAGATCACATGAGACAATTAAGTCATTCTGATAGACCTCACAGTACATATGGATGAAAAACCATCTAAAAATACTATAGCTGCCTTTATATCACAGCTAGAAAGGCAACAAAACAGTCTGATGCACTGCACCAATATCTGCAAGATAAGTGTAAGCTTGATCTTTTTGTTCCTTTTCAAGAGAAAAGAAAGACTAAACTTACACTATGCAACTCCTAGAATTTCCAATCTGGAGAATATTAATCATCTTCATTAAAATAATGACTCTAATCTTGTTTCTTCTTCACCCCACAGAGGTGACAAGCTGTTCAAGATTTTATGCAAAATTTCCAGGCTTTCCTTTCAGCGAGAGGGGTACAGACAGAACAATTGACTAACCCAACTTATTTACAAAAGTTGAAGCTCTTAACTCAATAGACAGAATTCAGTCTCAACACATCCATATTGAAATTCCTGGTTTGAACTGGTCAGAGATGTTACTTTGGCAACGTGGAAGACTGATCAAAATCCTTCCTGCTTCAACAAGCTTTAAGCACTAAACAAATGAATGGCTGTTAAAAAGCAGAATCTTCCTTCTGGTTTTAACTTCATTGCTGATGATTCCTGTTCTGCACTGGAATAAGCTAGGCAAGAGCTTCAAAATGTGTGAGATATTTACCCATTAAACTGTTTCCTGTATGATTCTTAAGGTAACTTACTTCCCATGACCTGTAGAGTACAGTATTAGAAGAAGCTGTAAGAAAAGCAGAGCTGGTTCAGTAACTGAAGTTGTTTTACTTAATGGAAATTTTCCACAGATTACCATGGAATGCCTCTTTTCCCCCCTTTTTAAAATGAATACACGAAACAAAGTTACTGATTAGATGATACTGAAATACAGTTTGTTCAAAAACTCATGTAGAGCTCTGCAACATATACGCTCTATCAGAATTGCTGGGCAGGGTGTGTGAGGGTTTTTTACTTCTTTCTTTTTAAAAGAGTTTAAGATCTCCAGGATTTTGTTGTTGTTGTTGTTTTTAGGTGAATAGATATTCTTCTGAACTGCAGAAAATTAATTTTACACTTAACCTTACATTTGCAAAGTTGGTACTCAAGATGAACAAATAGTACCTGTCTACATTCTCTAGTAACAATCCTAATAAAACGTTTATGTTATACAGCAGGAAAGGCGTACTAGAAGCAAACACTATGATAAAGCCTCCAAAGAAGAACACTCGAAGTGCTGAGACAAGTGGTCTGCTCCGTTTTCTGCATGTTGCTAGCACTGTGACCTAAGTTAGAACTGCCACCAAAAGGACAATCCTTCCTGCCTTGTTTAACTCCAGTCCCACCTGCTCTATGACCGGCCATATGAGCACTGTATGTGGCTTCTTTAGTAACTGACTCCACTATGCATGCTCCATCGTAGTATGAAGAGAGAAGACAAACTGCACTGCTGTACCTGATAGTACTTCATGATTACATCCAGCAGTTGCCACAGCTTTCCTGCCAACTGTGTTGTGCCCATCTTTGCCATAACACACCATACATCCCTCTCAGGGTCACTTAACCAGAGGATAAAGCTTTCCAATAAAGACATGCATGCTCTATTCCCAGAATGACTACTTCACCTTTGGAACCACCAAAAAGGCTATTTGCTTTTGCTTGGTTTACGGAGTACCAGAGATTATTGCCTGAAGGTTAAGTTACAGTAATGGAGACATGAGACTTGGATATCCACTGCGTTACACGCTGCCCTGCAACATACAGCACAGGTGCTAGAAGTGGGTCACTCTTTCTACAGGGAGGGCTGAAGCAACAAAAGAAAGAGCACAAGCTGTACGCATTTTTAGATGCAGTTTTGCATCTAATTCAAAATCCCACCTCACAAGACACAACATTTATAGCCCTAGTTACATTAAGACACTACAATAAGTGCACAAGTACATTCTTTAAGTCCGCAAGTTAAGAAGGGTAAGAAAAGATATTATGGCCAAGAAGGTAATTTTACCTAAGCTGTAAAGCCAATGCTGAAGCAATGAAACAGAGAACTTGTAGAAATCACTACATCCACTGGAATATCACCCATTAAAAATACAGAATGCACAAAAAGGAGCCTTGTGAATGTTTTAACAGGAACTCCAAATACACAAGTCTTTCCAATTCTGCAAGCATACTAACAGCACATTGTGTCTGGCTTTGCATCACCGCAGTAAAAGAATTGAAAATGGGTAAAGAACCCAGAGAACAGATCATGCCCTAGAAATACCTGCTATTTTTTCTATCCTTGAAGTAATCCTAAAAGCAACATTGGCAAGATAGACAGTTAATTAATGCATTAGTATGATCATCAATTTATTACCAGAGTCCTGCCTCAAGAAACTAGTCTCGATTCTTTAGACAGAGCCCATGGGCAAGAAGCGGGGTTGGACCTCCTCAGTGAACGAGGCTAAAAACTGTAGTCTTAACTATGGCACTGAAATACAAGAACAAAAGCTTTAGCTAGCTAAAATCACTAGAACAAAGCTTCACTATAATACTGAGGCTACAAAAAAAGAAAAAAAAAAATAGTGGGCCCCATTCTACATGGTACCAGCTGGCATTATTTCAGTTCATTTCAAAAAAGATCATTTGTCTTGTCCTAAGTGTAAGACATTGTGCTGAAGAACATCCAAGCAGCCACACAATATTTTTATTCTGTTCTAAGAATTATCTGCAACTATGAGGATGGGGAAAAAAAAAAATTCTGTCAAAATACTTCAGCAGAAAGCTCTGTGTGCATAAACGGGAAGTTACACTAATGCTCTGAGTGAGTTAGGAGTTTATTAACTTTAAAGTCTAACATATCCAATTTTGGAAGCTGGCTCAGTGCAGGAAACAGTTGAGGTTTACTAAGACAAACATTGAAATATGGCTATTCAACTGGCTAAAGCATTATGCTAAAGAGCATTTGCTAACGAATTACTAAATACTACAGCCTACGTAGAGTTTATAGCCATGTTTTTAGGGCTCTGAATATAATACTTCAAGGATACGTAGCTACATTCATTAGGTTGGAAAAGATGAATCGCAAGAAATTATATTAAGCTAGTGAAAAGGGGAGGGAGCACTAATGACTTTTCTGCATGGAAAATACAGAGAAAGTGGCATGCTAATTTTAGGGAAAAATAAAGTTGTATTTTAAGACTACAATAAGCAAGTGGAAGAGGAATTTAATTTGGTGTTTCTAGTCCAGAAATGGACTTTATTGCTTATCACGTTTCCTCAACTGAGCTAAATCAAGACATTATGTTGCCAGCTGTATCATCTTCTACACTGCTATATAAAAGGACCACATATGAGCTCATGAAACTCAGTGTCAGGCTATAGCTAAACTAACTTTAGTTCAACCAATTAGCAGTAAACACAACAAACAAACAAAATAAGCACTTTGCTGCATGACAGAAGCCCTGACTCTTAACAGAGCAAAGCACTTTCTCACAACTCATATTCAGACATTTGACACCCAAGCTCTGTTAAAGGCAAAAGTGTTAGACACACGTTAGGACTGGATGAAATTCAAAACATACTGCCACACTACCAGAGTTTCAGGTCAGAACTGATTTACCCAGTAATTCCAGACTCGAATTTGTAACATCTGCTTGGCTACAGCACCTCTTTTTCTGAAAGACATCTGCTATTCACTCAGGGGACGCAGAGCTTTCCAGAGATCTTCAGCGTCTTTCAAAAAGGGCTTTTCGATGAGTAGTTAATTACAAGCAGCTTTTAATCCAGCAAATACACACTGATGCTCAGGAAACTAATTTAGACTGCCAGCTCTCTTGAAAAGACCTGGAAATGGCTGCAAGTCAAAACATCATCTGAAGACTTTTCTGTCTCCTGGCAGACAGAAACTAGCACCAGGTGTCCTGACTTGCATAAACACTAAAAACAAACCCAATATGAAGTCCTTAAAACTCTGCCAGATTTTGGAATGCCATCTGCCACTTAATCAGCTGCCATTCCTCCCCTTGCCATACAAGGAGACATCCACATCAACACGCTCAGATAATTTCAGCTTGCTCAAGTGTAGTCTGCGGCGATACACACAGACAGACAGCACCAAAAGGGCATCTACCATGAACCTTTCAGAAAACACTGTTTTTCTGAATGATTCTATTTTTTTTTTTTCCAAGCCACAACACATGAGCTTTAACGACTACTTACCTCACTGCGGCTAAACAGCAAAAACCACATCCAAGTGCCATTGCCATACTTTTATTTGGTTAAAAGCTCCTTATGCTTCACTGGAAACAGAGTGACAGATAGCACAGACTGCATATTCTAAGAGCTGGGTAGCCAAGTGATATTAAGTAGGGAAAAACACAATCCTTTTCTCCATATCCCTTGAAACTGGAAGCAGTGATGGTTTATGGAACTGCCCATTGCAAAGCTGTTCTTCCAAGAAAAGAACCAATATACTAAATATAACGTGTAAACCTAATTTAAGTTGCACCATAGAAAGGGTAAAGTGCATTCAGAAAACTCACCAGAACCCACACAAGATAGGCCTTGGTGTCCATTTCTTCCAGGAGTACCTGCAATGTTTGGAAAGAGGAAAAAAAAGGAGAAAAGCAGAATTACACTTCAAGCCAGTAAGGGGTAGTGGGGGTGCCTTTTTTTAAGATTCTTCCCACATAAGCTCCTCAATCTTCACAATTTCAGTTTCTTTCTTGTGATTATTGGTAGCATCTTCAACAGCAAGATTTAGCATTATAAGGTTAAACTATTTGGAAAATGCATGATGAATTCCCAATATATTTTTTTTCCTTTTTCCCCTCCCATTACAATTGTCATGCTTCCTTTAAGCCAGGTAGCACAGTTTCATCTTACTCATAGACTACTACAGATGATAATCTATCATGTATACCACCCTTATGCTCCAATTAATTTATTTGTATAGGGAGGCATAAATTAAAAGCACTCTCAAATGTGCTACCAATCCAGTTAGAGATAAATGAAAGCACTGAGAAGGTTAATCTACCCTTGTTGTATTGGTTTAGTTGTGTGAAAACTGATCTAAGAGCCCCATATTCCAACGGATACTAATTAAATGAAAGCACTCTTTCAGACTGCTAGGTGTAAATGCAAGAGCCAGATGCAGAAGTCTATAAACAGTCTGTTGACAACACCTATTAGCTTTCTTCAGGCATGTGATCCAATAGCAGGTATTTCTTTAGGAAACAATCTACTTTGTACCGTTACTGTACTTGTTTCCCTCACCTTAGCCATGCAAAGTGATGTTTGTCTTACAGAGCTTGCCTGAGGTTTCACATCTATTCTTTTGATTCACTCTAGTAAAAATGACTCCTTTCAATTTAAAGTTAAAAGACAGCACAAACATCCAATACAGAAATATGAAGTGGAGTAAATACTATCCTCAAGAGCCAAAGCTGATCACCACACTCCCAAGAACCTTGCTTAATTTAAACACAAACTTGGGAAATCTAGTCTGGGTAGCGTATTACAGGTATACAATCTCCCAAGCAGGTGACAGAAGAGCATTCAACAGACATTATCAAGTATCTGAGTCCTCATGAGATGCAAGTTTCAAGCAGACAGTGGACAATAAATGCTCCGATTTCTCCCCATCCAAATATAACAAATACTTAAGGAACACTTGGCAGAGTCAGTCTCCAGTTCTATGAACTACAAGGAGAAGAAGAGACTGACCATCTCAGTTACTCAACTCACAGAGCATAGCGGCTCTCTCAAGACACAGGGATTCAGGAATGTAAGTGGAAAAGTGACTTTACCCAACAGTAGATTACCTCTGGCCTCACTGAGTTTCCTTGCCGAGTGCAGTGGCCCACATGATTTTGGTATGCACTGGCTCAGTGGAGTAGGCCTGGCTCCTAGGAGTAGAAGTTTAGGTCAGGTTTAAAAGTACAACTCAACTATGTCAACAATTAAAGACATGTCTAACATTATGTATGTACACTTAAGTACAAGATGCACAAACCTACTCAAATAAACACAAAGAGACCCCTTCTAGACAATTTAAGCCATATTTAAGCTTAGCTTTGCTTTACCAGAACTCACTGGAAGAAATATACTTTTAAATAAAGCTTCTAAGCAGAATAAAACATTACTAAAGATATCACTTCAGTATTAAGATTGAATTACTTGGGTCTCAAGAGTGGCAAATACAACACATCTAAAGAATCACTGCCCAAAAGGGCACCTCCAGAGCCCAGCTACCCAGGCTCCCACTCAGAGCAAGGCCGCCACCAAGATGAGATCAGTTGACCACGCTTTCATCTAGCCGACCCTTGCAAGGCTCCAGGAAGGCAGGCTCTACGGCCCTGCTGGGCAAGGCTGCATCGCCCACTCCACTATTTGCAAACATTTCCTGTTGCCACGTCATCTGGCACTGCTGCGAAGCGTTTGGCACCATCCCCTCCGTGGCTGTCCTTTTCAAGTTGCTGCAGTCTGTTACAGTATTTCCCCTTACCCTCTTTTTTGCCTGACTACACAAGCTCAGCTCCCTCAACCTGTCCCCACAGGTCACGTGGTCAGAGACCCTAACCATATTCCTAAGTCTCCAGCTGACCTTTCCAGTTTTAAAACAACCCTCTTGAACTGTGAAGGCCCCAAAACACAACAGAGTAGACCAAGTCACTCCCAGCCAAGGGGGGAATGCCAGCTGCTTCTGGCCACGCTGCTCCTGTGGGTGCTGAAGGCACGCTTCTAGCGCCCAGGTCACTGCAGATGTTGAGCAACACAGCTGTCACGGGTTGGAACCCAACAGAAAGCATCAGCTTGTCAGACAGCCATATAATTTGTGTTTGTTTCAAAGTGATTTACAGTTTGTGGGAAATTGATTCTTTTCAACATTTTAAAGCAAGTCATTGTAACGTGACATTTGGCAGGCATCTCTTCTATTTATTCTCAATTATGTCAGATACCAGCTTAAAACTTAAGCCTAAAGCAGAAGCGTAGTATTTAATTAGGTTTATCCAATTACAATAACCAGTTCACCACATAGATGGTCAGAAGCAAGCTGATTATAACTAGGATTAAGGAGAGAGACAGCAAGCTTATTTATCTGCTCCCATTATGTCTTTAATTTTGGCCAGAGAATGAGTTGCCAACTGCTGTTTGTGGCTTGAGTGGAAAAGCACTGCTGGTCGACTGAGGGGTCCTGGCTCAAACAGGAACCAGAATAGTGTTTAATACAAAGCCAGAAAGTGCATTTAAATTGATGCTTCCTTTAGCATCAGATGATGAAGAACAATTGTCTTATCCCTATTAAAAATCAGAGTAAACCCCTGCTTCCACTTAAGCCAGTAAGAAGAATATCAAGAAAAAGCAGCATGAAAAGTTAAGCTGTTTCTGGGAGTCTTCCCTTGGAAAGATGGGACAATGTCATTCATCTATGAAAGATGATATTTGACCTAACAATACCTTATTCAAAAAGGTGTCTTCGTCCCCCAAAGTCCTTTCTGTCACGAAAGGGGTGAAGATAATGCAAAGTCTGCATGGGGAAGAGGACAGCCATACACTCAGGATAAATTCAGGGTAGGTGTAGCCTGCAGATCACCTGCAGCCAGAGTCTGCACCTGAGCTTTGTGACAGAAGAGAACTCTTACTAAAACAAGGTAAGCCCCATGTGGTGACACCTGCCACATAGCACAGTGCATTTATTCCCTGTGCCATGCAAACCTTAGCCATATCACAGCACAGACCTGCTCCTCATTTGCCAGAAATACCCCAGCATTCAAATGACATTTTAGCCTTCCTATGAAATCCTGCAGCAGTTGAAGCACCACTGATGTGATTTTACTTCCTCATACTATTTTCCCAGACCACTGTTTAAGAAATGCTGCTTCAGGAGGCAGCCACCTGCAAAAAGTAAGGTTCTGTAACAGCAGTGGTTGTAGTTTCATTCTACAAACAGACCCATACCTTTTGGAGTTGTCTTCAACGAGTGTAACCTAGGTCTTGGTACTGCTTTCAAAGGGACAGATCCCGAAGTACCATTCTGGCAGGCTGGTTTTGAAGGCCATTCTCCATTCTTGAACACTGTGGCACTTGCAGCTGCAGGGGGGAAAAGAAAAAAAAAAAAAATCCTAAACCAAGCACGTTTTATTCAAGGCTTGAACTAGGAGGAACACAAGTTGGAATAAAAATACTACGAACAGCTCTGATCTCTTCAGTACAGACTGATGAACTGTAACAGAGCAGTCTATGCCTGCTACAAACCCTTTTCAGAGCTAGACGTACAGGGTTGAACTTTGCATAAGAAGGGGATTTATACAAAAGTATATTGATTGAGGTGTGTAACTAGAAGTCTGAGCTTGCTGTAGAAAGCGAACGCAGCACATATTTCACTTTAAGCCAAGAGAAAGCACCATCAATACACAATGACACAGTGGCCACGGAACTGACTGTTAAAAAACCCAAAAACATAATACTGAGAAGTTCTTCATGCAACACCTCTTCTCCCTTGAGCTGGGAGCACTGTTTCAATGGGATGGCACACACACCACCAGCATGGACACATGGTGCTGTGCGAGGACTCTGCACTCCTCCTGTCGGGACACTAAAACTGTGCCCTCCACTAGCCACCAAACAAGTTTTACTAAAGGTTCCTGTAGCCCCCATTCATAACCGCAACCTCCTCAAGTGACAGCAGACCTCACAAGACACCCACCTCCCAGACACATCCCTCTCTCCAGAGGAGAGCTGAAAAAAACCCCAGCTTCATTAAAATACTAAAGGTAACACGAACTACGCATCCACTGTTGTTGATCAAAAGATGGAACGCAGCCTTGGGATAATTTCTGTGCCTTTAAATACACCAGCAGATGTCACGTAAGTTAACTGCTTCAAAAAGCTTCCTTTTGGCCATTAATCAATACAAGTCTACAACATAAAGAGGGACAGAACCGCTTTCCCATTTGGAAATGTATGCAACTGAAGTATGGGGGTTTGTTTGAAGCAAGTTGGAGCCTCTCTAAAGGCACAAAAGCTAAATATTTGCAAGAAATCTATACATGAGGAACAATTTACATAAACATATCAATGACATCTCTGGGAACCTGACCCTGCTCAACAGCAGATGATTCAAACTAATTTATTCTAGTAAAGCATGAGGCCTGAAGCAGTCCTTCACTTTTTCCATAAAGCACTAACTTCAGGATTATTTGCTGAGAGTTCACTGCAAGTAGCTAACAACTGCCTACAGACTGCTGTGCTGCTGTCTTCTCCATCAGAAGCATGCCACGGAAGCCACACTTTGGGTAAGCAGGCAGACTTGTGGGGCAGGACTAGTTAGGGCACTGTTTCTGTGCATCAGAAGCTCAGGAGCCAGCTAACCAGGCTGTGTGCAGGAGAAAAGGTAAGCTGGCAAAGTTGGGTCGTTACGTGACTCAAAGATGGTTTGACATAGAATCAGGAGTACCTAGTGCAATCTTGATGAAAGATGGGCAGATATGAAGTGATCTAACCCCACCTAAGGTATAAAGGGTTTGAAAACTCAACTCACTACAAGAATTGTAGTCAAGTGTTGACGTTATGGAAATGCAGCTCCAGGTCAATTGCTAGGACCAGCTTTTTAACTTCAATGATTAAACACCATTTCCTACGTGTGCAATTATTCTAATTTAACTCAAATTCGGGTTCTTGTTCACCTCTAGAATTTAAACATTTCAGTATGCTCAAATCATAGCATTTTTCATCTCCCCACTGACATCTACAAAGACTCTCTACTGTTAAACATGCAATTTGTCAACGCTCAAACTGACAGCTTACACGCAAAATACACTTTTGTTAACAACATTTCAAACTTACTTATTTTCAAAATTCTCAAATAGTAAGTCTTTTCAGAGAAAAGAATCATAAAACTCCAGTGTTCATTAAACAAAAAAACCCCCTGATGTTGCCACAGGAAATTAACAACCCAAGGACATCCCATAACAAAGGGCTGAGCTGGCACAGCAGGAGAAACGCTCTCTTTTGTGATTTTTTTTTCCCCCTGCTAACAAGGCAAACTCCTTAAACAAAATAAGGCAAGCGACTTCATGAATTTTACACTGTTGACAGGACCACAGTAGTTTGTCATAAATTTCATGACATTCGAAGTTTAAGCCTCTCATCTTGATCTTTGTGTGTTTACAAATATGGATTTTTCCCCCTCCAATATTATTGTACAGTAGATTAAATGACAGAATAAGAGACAAGAACAGCACTGTACAAAGTACATTCACTTGTTCTTTTCAATTTGATTCAAAGTCATAAAACATTAACCTTACTAAACACATGAATCATACGTAACCTAAATTCATTATACTTGCAAAACCTGACCATCAGACTTAAATCATTCTCAAGTGCAAATTAAAGAAAAATAATCCCATGGAAAATCAGCAAGTCAAAACATTGCATACATTTACCAACCTCCACAAAACAAAATATATGCTTAAAAAAAAAAAAAGAAATAAAAAGAAGAATACAACCTACTTCTTTTCCCAGTAAACGTGGCTAACAAAGGAATAATACAAAAGCTGTAGGATCCCACTACCAGCAGTGTCAGTAAGGTGATATCATAGTGGCTTCCTGAGTCAGTTGGTGGTGTCAGTGTAGAATTGATGAAAATAGCAGGAGAAAAATTAGTTTCTGTGCAACTGCGGAGTCCTCCTGGTATAGTCATTTAAAAAGGATCAAAGCAAGCTTAAAGCCAAAGAGACTGCAGCCATGTTCAACCTCTCATGTTGCTCTTGCTTGCGCTTCGTGAATCGGAGTGGAAAAAAATTGGAAGCTTCAAGGCAGCGGACAAAACAGATTACACCAGCTAGCAGCAGAGCAGGCTAAATAAGGAGTCATCTGTTTGGCTACTTAATCTCAATACATTTCTTTGTTATGAAGCGATGACCCTCTCCTTTGTTACACCAGAGAGCAAAATGAAAAGAGGACAAAGCCGCTTAGGAATTCCAGATACCGTCCTAAACCTGAACGGCAAAAGTCAACATGGCTGTCACGGCAACTGAACCGACCTGACTACACAGGAACATGCATGGCGTATTTTATTATACATATTCTTATTCCTTTGAGGGATATGCTAGGTTTTAATTTCTTAATGAGGGCAGTACAGGGAGAAAAAGAGCGCAAGAGGCAATTTAGTTATACATGTATGCGCATACGTAAGCTAGAGACGTCTGAAAGCACAGCTCTCACAGACCACTGAAGACAGATTTAACTGATATCTGGCACAAAAGCCTCTGCCCAGTCTCCAAGACACAACAGATGATGCGATAGTAACAGAGTATTTGGATAAAGTTCAGCTGGGAATACAGATATGTCTGACAGTCACTTGTGTGTTTTCCTTCTTTCATATTGTTGCCCCTAGAACTCCTACATCTGCTGGTACAGTCCTTTTGGAGACCTTCAAATTGTTTGTTTTCTCCCCAGTTTTCATCAAGATGGATCTGTTTCAGGTCACACACCAATGCTTACAGCTACCTTAGAAATGATAAAAGTCTACCTTCAAAGTTTTACCTTCTAAAAGCAGTTTCACTTACCCGCTTTTGATCTCATTTACACATTTTGTATTAAAATTCCGAGAGCAGATACAATCTAGTTCAAAAAGAGAATTTAGTATCAAAAACCTGTAACATGCTGTTCCAAATATTATGACAGGCAATCCATTCACACCGTTCAGAGTTATTTCTTGGTACACTCTATGTAAACACAAGGAGACTTTTGCTCAAGACAGCCCTCTGGCTTCGTAATGTTACGGGATGGAGGAGGAGCTGTACTGAAACCTCTCTTCAAACCGAAATCCAAGGCTCAAAGCTCCTTCAGGCAGGCAGCATGTCTCAAGAAGGAAAGTTGTAAGTTCAGAGACAAAAAAAGCAAGACCTAGAACTCGTAACAAGCAGTGCGGCGCGAATTAACGCAGGCCTTTGTCAAACAGGACGCCCTTCAAGGGGATTTTGCAACAAGACGTTGCTGCTGGCTCCCAGAAAACACCCGGAACCCTGACGGATACTCACAGTTACTGCTGAACAGACTTCGCTCGCTCTGAGTGCTGCTGACTGACGAGAGGCTGGGTGATCTCTCAGGCGCTGAGCTTTTGACAGGCACTTTGCATTTGGCAAGCCGTTTACCGGAGCTAGCCCACGAGCCTGGAGAACTTTTCACGGATGCATGCTTCTCTCTTGCCAATGATCCTATACCTGTCAATTGGAGGAAAGAAAAGAAAAAAAGGAGTTGGAAAGAAGCTTAAACAATTGCTGCTTCTACATATACGCCTACAAGTAAAAAAGATTCACACATTAAAAAAACATATAAAAAGGCTAACCTATTTCATATTAATGTGGAAAAAAAAATGATGTAAATGCAGAAAGACAGTTCCACCGATTTAAAGGATCCTGTTCTACCTGCATATTGACCTCAGGAACAAGTTAAGATCTTCACAGACTGGCCTTCAAGGCAGGAATTTGCACACACAAACACTCTTTTCTGCATTCTCCTACCTCTGTGTATTATGGTTAGCTGTACTGGCAATCCCACAACAAGGTAACTTCTGTCTCAAAGACGAGCCAAAAAAGATTCTTTTGTTTGTTCCCACTCCCAAAAGCAGAGACTCCCTCCACACACACCTCACTGACAGAGTACTCAAAAACTTAACATCCTTTCAAAGACAAACACAAGAGTACCAAATTGTGTTGTACTCCCATAACATACCAAAAACTGACTAGTTCTGCAGAACTAGTCAAACAGCACTACCCAGAACCAAGTTCTTAATGGCCAACTGGTGCAGACACATTTTTGCATTAATCGTTTTTTTCATTTGATCTTGCTGAATACAAATGCCCAACAGCCAAGTTAATCAAATAGGAAGAATATCTACAGAGGAGGAGGTGTGCCATCTTCAGACTGGAGCCTCTAACAGACTGGAGCTATTAGCAGCTTCAGTCAGTTGCTAACAAAGCAACTAGGCTTTCTGCAAGAAAATTCAAGTTTAGTTCAACTGAGCTTCCAGTTTGTTTCTGAAGAGTGTGCACCCAGATTAAAACTACAGTGACACAAAAGAAGTTGTGTACACACAGACTTGTCTTGCCAGCACTCAGTTGACTCCTGCCAGCTCTGATGTCAAGACCTTTATAGAGTGCTCTGAGTAACTATAGAAAAGTGGTTTTAATTTTTGTACAAAAAAAAAAAAAAACAACCCACACCCACCACAAACACACCACATAACACAAAAAAGAAAGAGAGACATGGAAGATAAGCCTACTTCATTAAAAAAAATCATTTATTATAATAAAAGATATTTTACAAAATATCTTAACTTCTGACGTCATCGCCATTTTTGAGTCTGACAGTTCTACTTGCTTCAAAAGAGACTACAGTGTTTCAGATTTGATTTAGAACAATGAAGTTTCCACCTGAAGGGAATGCCCTTCCCTTCATTCCTGTCACTAGAAACCACATTTCAGTTTTGCTTAAGCTATATAAGGGATGGTTGAAATGCAACGAAATTAGCTACCGATTTCAATTTATTCAACATTGGTTTTGCTGCTGGATCTTCACTCTAAAATAGCAACAACCAAGAAGCCTTCAATTTTCACCAAGACCGAGAAAGCATGACATCAAGGGGATTACATTAAGATTTAGGCAAGAAAACCACTCAGTCCCAATATCTGCTTTCCAACAGTAGGTGGTGTGACAGGATTAGTAACTGCGCTCAAAACATCCTGTATCAAATACACAAGCACCAGTAAAGGCAGGTACGTCCAAGCCATTCCCCTCAGTCCAGATCAACTCAGTGATGATTGAAACCCTACGCGTCGCTTATATTAAACATGCACTGGGCTATTAGATAATAGGGGTCGCTGAACGTACAACACAAGCTTTGATGAGTCAGTAAACATGCTTTACAACAGACCTCTCTTCGGAGGTACACTTGTACTACTTGTTTGGCATTGCTATGCAGAACTGCGATTTACTGCTTTACTGTAGCCAGGTATTAAATCTCCGAGACAAAGTTATCAGCCATATTTTAGAATTTTTCTTAAGTTACCGCAATGGACACTTGAAATATCCGACTCACTAAAGATCATCCAACCTCTATTGTGCTGTGAGACCAGCACAAACCACAAGCTCACACCTACTGAAAACACGCCTAAACCATAGCACTCCAAAGAACATATCTGAAATAGTCTGTGTTTAACAAAAACATTCTGACATCTGAACCTCATACAACAAATCTTACAGCTATCTAAAAGTTTCCACGTTGTTTTCTAAAAGCTTGTTTCATTAACGGATCAACATACCAGAAAAGTAATTAATCCAGGCTGGTCAGAAATTCCTTTTCTAAAGAGCCTCTCAGGAAAACAAGGTGCAAAAACTAAGTAACACACACACAATAAAAGGACAAAAATAAAGCTGCGTGCAAATACTTCCCATTGAGTTTGTAGGAGTTACTAAGTTAAAGCTTTACATTTCAAAAGGCAGCTAGAGGAACAAATGCAGATTATCAGTTGCATTTTATTGTTTAAAGATGAGGATAGTGTGGTTGACTCCTACTGTGCTAGACTTGTTCATCCAGTTCAAAAGGTACAGGAGCAAAATCCTGCTTTCTTCACAGTGATTTTCACCCAAGAAGAGTAGCGGCAGGCACGTGAAAATGCTCGGTCTCTTCTCGGACAGCATGTTCCCTATTTATGGTTTGCAGCCAGCCCAGCTCCTCTGCAGACGCTGGAACGCAGCAGTGTCTAAGCCAGCTGTGAGCTCAAACCCATTCACCAAGCACAGCAAGCTCTAAGATGGCCAGTTTCAGAAGCACGTCAAGCAGATGACCTTTGCTCTTCCCTCAGTTCTTCCACTGCTCTGTGCTTCCCTACGAGGCTTGTAGTAATTACTCAAGCACTCAAGTACATTTTTCAAAAGCCCAACTCGAGGGAGAAAGTCATGACACAAGACCATTAAGCAACTAACTCTAGCTGTTACTTCATCACCTAATGGTTTTATAAAGTATTTTTATAACAGCTATTCCCTAAAAAAGGGAGTGACAGAATTAAATGCAACGGTTTTGAAGACAAAAGCAGGAAAATACAGTATATAAATAAAAGTACTGGAAACAAACACAAAAGCAGGATATTTACCGATCCATTACTATAAAGACAACAAGAAACAGCATCAAAGTAACAGGCTTTCATCAGTTATTTAATCTAGTCACTTAAGTGGAATACTAGAAATATCACATTCCTCTACAGTGAAGTAACGAGCTGGCAATTCTTTACAAAAAAGGCTCTATGCAACGATTGCATTACTTCAAGCATGTTAAAGTAACTCTTGTATTGGAATGGGAATAAGCAAAGAACAAAGCTCATATTTCTCAAGAAGCTCTGAAGTCAGATTTCACACCCTTACTCAAATAACCATCCTCTCACATGAATCCTCATAGGTGGTTGTCATCAAATTAAGGCTTCCTGTAAATAGCACTGGACCCTAAAAAATTCAAATTAAGGGAATAAACATATGCTGGTAGTGGTGAACTTGGGACACTGTTAGATGGTGAATATATATTCAACTTGACTAATTCTAAAATCTGATGACCGCTATTTCAAGCCATACTGACACATTTCACACCTAGAACTGAGCACAGAGCAACTGGCATTCACAGAGCTATGCCACACCTGGAAATGAATAGGTGGAAGCCTGTCCCAAATAGAAACTTAGGGCAGACTACGTGCAAAAGGAGTCTTTGGAAGGATGCTTTTCTGTTATTGCTGGATTTGTTTAACGCTAAAGCTAACAGCAATAGCTGGTTTGGCCATTTATTGCCTTATCTCTTGAATATGTTGCATTTTGGATTTTTGCCTCATGCTTTTCTGATTTTTCCTGCAAGTTTGGAAGTGCAGACAGCTCTAGTCTAAATGTGCTCAACTTCTTAGTTTTAAAAAGAAAATAGTTATAAGCATGATAAAAAGCCTAGTCTAAGCCTACAGTGCAAGGTATTTACAAAACAAGGAGAGTTAAACCTTCAGGAAAGCATGGGGGATTTTTGGCATCTGTTGAAAGGAGCAGTAAGTCACGGGAAGACAAACTGTACTTTGGTATTGTTTCCAGCAGACTGATCTTAATATAGCTGTAAGAGCGTTCGTGGTTGCTATTTTGAGCACTGTAAAGCAGTAGCAATACTAAGAGATCTCTGCTGGATGCAAGCTCCCCAGGTCACCTGATCACCCACGCAGCGGTATTAGTTATACCATACGATGCTATATGTGTATCGACGCCCCTTTGAGGAATAAAACGTGGTTACAGCACATTCCATAACTAGAGATTACCGTGTAGATCTTTGGCAGAATTATCTCCCTTTTAAAGCCTCCAATTACTACCAAAATTACCCAAGAAAAGGCAGGACACCGTTATGTTGCTAGTAATGCCTCAACTGCTAAACAGAAACATGGTCAAAGACAGGGAACATTAAGTTACTGCTGGGTGTTGAAATATGTACATGAGAGATTTATTTAGGGGATAACAGCTGATCAGAGACCAGTTTACAAATTAAGGCAAGACCCAATTACCCGTCTGATGTAGACTTCCACAATATTGTTCCCATTCACCTCCAATGCTCAGCAAAGTGCTCCTCTTTGGCACAGGTATCAAGGAACTGGTGGCAAATTACTGCCAAAAATGTAACCAGGCTGCCAGCAGCCATGGGGGTAGGTATTAGTGTGTTCCTCCTCTTGCAGCTCAGTATTCTCAGACTAAAACTGGAAAACTGATCATCAGTGCCCTGTCTGTATTAGCAGTCACCAACATCTCAACCAACCCTTTTCGTTCTCTCAACCACTCCCACCATCAGAAGAGCAATTGGGGTGTTTTCAAGTGGGGATGGGGGCAGGGAGGAAAACAACACTAATGTATGTCCACCGTGAAATTTCACTTTTTTCCCTTTCTATTTGGCCCAGTTATGAAATCTGCTGAAACCATTCCACCATGAGACACCTCCCTTTCCCATCTTCCCTCAGGCTCAGCTTCTTGCATCGGATCTCTCCAGCACCTAGAAATAGCTCTTGTCCTCCCCAGCCCAAAGTCTGAACTCACGCCAGCTCTCCCACATCCAGTACTGGCTGCTGGATTTACTCCATTTTAGCTTTTCCCTTTTTCAGAGTGAACCAGAGCAGCCCCATGAGCGACCATGCCCGCACCCTCACGCTGTCGTTTC